AATTAATCTTGTCACCTTGTTTACTGTTCTCTATGCAAGAAGTAGAATATGTGGTTAATTAATCTCGTCACTTTGTTTACTGTTCTCTATGCAAGAAGTGGAAAGTGTGGTTAATTAATCTTGTCACCTTGTTTACTGTTCTCTGTGCAAGAAGTAGAATATGTGGTTAATTAATCTTGTCACCTTTAGCTCTCTTTTGTGTGTTTGTTTCCCAGACACATAAGTAATCTGTAGCCGTTATTTATGAGGCTGCAAATAGATGAAGTTTTGTTTGATCTGAGTGGCCTTTGGTATGTATGTTCTTTTGAGTTGTAAGAGTTGAATTATTAATTTTTATAGATACTTCATGAGGATAAAGTTTTGATTTTGTGAAAATTCTGTTTTTAAAAATATTTTAAGTAATTGAATATCAGTTGTTTAATTTTCTTTTAATGTTTAGATATAACTATTTAAGAATTAATATGTATAAAAAATTTTGATCAGCTTAAAATGTATATATTTGTACAAAATTGACAATAACCTGAAAATTCCCTAAATTATGTGTTCACGGACAATTTGTTTAATGAAATCCATATAGTAAATTTGGCTGAAATTATCAAAGAGAAATTTCAAATAATGTTTTATGAACTAGTTTTTGACAGACGTTTTCAGTTTGTGTTCATGACATTAAACATCATTTGACCTAATTATTTCAATTTTACCCTTTATGAAAGTGTTCAAAAAGCAGTGCTCATATTGAAGGGGAATGGAAGGAAATGCTGTTTCTGTTGTTAAATATCAATTTCTATCCCTCATAAGCATGCATAAGAACGTTTTGAGATTGAGACTTCACTCACTGATGTAGCCTCAGTGGAGGCACATACATACAGCTATAAGTCTAGTGATTCTCTCCATGCCAGATGTATCCATTAATCATTGTTAAGGTTGAAATGTAGTGATTTTTTTATGCCAGATATATCCATTAATTATTGTTAAGGTTAAAGTGTAGTGATTCTCTCCATGCAAGATATATCCATTAATTATTGTTAAGGTTAAAGTCTAGTGATTCTCTTCATGCCAGATATATCCATTAATTTTTGTTAAGGTTGAAGTGTAGTGATTCTCTCCATGCCAGATGTATCCATTAATCATTGTTAACGTTGAAGTGTAGTGATTCTCTCTATGCCAGATATATCCATTAATCATTGTTAAGGTTAAAGTGTAGTGATTCTCTTTATGCCAGATATATCCATTAATCATTGTTAAGGTTGAAGTGTAGTGATTCTCTTCATGCCAGATATATCCATTAATCATTGTTAAGGTTGAAGTATAGTGATTCTCTCCATGCCAAATATATCCATTAATCATTGTTAAGGTTAAAGTGTAGTGATTCTCTTTATGCCAGATATATCCATTAATCATTGTTAAGGTTGAAGTGTAGTGATTCTCTTCATGCCAGATATATCCATTAATCATTGTTAAGGTTGAAGTATAGTGATTCTCTCCATGCCAGATATATCGAAGTTGGTTGTTTAGTTTGTTCTTACTGTTTGTTTCATGTGAAGTTATTTTGAAATCTTAATTTTGATGTAATTGGTGACTGAGCAGTGAGGTAATTAAATTCATAGTATATTTATGTATGTGAAATAGTATCAGCATAAAGTACAATTTTTTAACATTATACTATACATTCTTAAGTAACTACAATTCAAGCACAGTTATAAAGATAATTTTTATTGTTAATATTGGTCATGTCATTTGAATTTGTTTCTCAGTGTGACTTGTAGTTTAAACCTCAAGAATAGATAACTAACATTTAAAATAGGTTTTTAACTTAAGCTTTCACTCTCTACCTGTAGAAAACTGACTCAGACAGATGTGGCAGTTCCTCCACAGGTTTTTCTACTTCTCAGGCTGCCACTAATACTCATAAACGATATGAAGTGATGCGTATCAGACTCATACAAAGCATAGCTGTGAAGAATGAGCACAACTACTTCAGTGGAGCTCCAGCAGACTAAAATAAGAAGAATGTCAGTTTTGTGAGTGTGTTAATTTCCAAATGAATAAAATTAGTGTTTACAAACACACATTTCTTTTTTTTACTTAATAACTATATGGTCAGAGTATTATTCCTGGTTAACAGAGAGACTTTTTTTAAGAAGTTAGAAATATCTTAAACTATTAATTTATTGACATACTAAAATTATGTGGTTAAATAAAACACATTAAAAGGAAATTTCAAAAGAATTGTTAGTGTTAAATGTTTTCTTCAGAATTGATTTAGAATATTTTCATAAATCATTTGTCATTTTTATAAAAAGGAAGGTGTATGGAAATGCCATTTTTTTTCACCCTCTATTTGGCATTAAGACAAAATTCTAATGATGTTCTAATTTAATCATTATATTAACACAGTTTTTAAGTTGTTTAATTGAGAATACACATATATGGTTGAACCAATAAATTGTTTGTTTTTTTTTGTTTTTTGCACATTATAGCATAGTTTAAATTTTCATGCAACAACCATTTGTTTTCCATTAATTTAGGTTTGATTTTTTGTATAGAATAACTAACATTTTTGCTCATAGATCAATCACTGTATTTGATGAAATTTTTTATATAGATCAACCATCACCTGTCATGAATTAATGTACTTCTGTATAAGGTGTTGATTGTTTTTCTCATAAATTATTCAATTTTTTTATGAATTAAAAATATTTTTCGTAAGATTTCAGATTTTTTTAGAAAGTTCTATTTTCTGAAAACCAAAATGATACACTGATATCAGTATTGAGTAGTGTAATATAAAATACAGAATCCATGGTAACACATTATGGAGACCACATTTAAATCACTATAATCACCTCTGACCTTTACTTAGAAGGAGCATTCAAATCATAAGTGCTTTAATCTATAAATTACATCTAAGCATACTTATCTACAAATAAAAATTGAACATTTGACCTTTTAGGTAGAATTAATATATCTCATCCTCTCCAACCTAAAAAATAAGTTATCTTAAATCTGTCTTTTTTTAGAATTTCTTATGTTCAAAGGTAAGTTTTGAATATTGCTTAAGAAAAGCATGTAATTCCCAAGGTCTTGTTGAACAATCTGGTGATTATTATTCAGGAGCTTTTCTCAGTGTAATAAACACTGCAAATATTAACACTTATGGTATAAACACACACACACACACAGATAACAATAATCCAGTCAAGCTTAAGCTCTTTGAAGACCTTGTAGGAAAGGGCATTGCTATGAAAGAGAGAGAGAAAAACAAAACTATTTTCTCTAAAGTAAAAGCTAAGACACAAATATATCTAATAAATATGATATTTAGAATATGTATTAAAAAGTAAAAGTCTAAAGAAAATTCTACAGCTGTGATTTTCCTAATCAATTAAGGATAATTCTATTTCACAATCAAAGTTAACAATTTTAGTAATTAATTTTAATACATTTTAATTCAACAAGAACATCCAGTTATATAAAAAAATTAAAAACCATGGTGATTTGCAACCTACATTCCTCTCATCTGCATTAGAAAAAGTTTTAAATTTTTTAACACACATGAAGTAATTAACCAGTCTTGCCAGTATAGTTTACTTATTTAATTGTTGATTGATATTTTCTTGAGTTTTCAAATAGTTTCTTAATGTTGAGTCTTTTATAACTACCAAAATTTGAGTTATATGTTATCAAAAACGTATAAAACCATTTGTTTTTCAGTATTAAAAAAAGATGAATTCTATTCATTCAAATTGCTATGGTTTAATATTTTATTCAATTAAAACTATTGTGAAGATGTTAAAGTTAAATAATTTGTAATTTCTTGGTGGAAAAATGTTAAGTTTGTGATTAGCTTGATTCAGTTTTTTGTAGAAACATTGCTGTTAAATTTTGTTGTGATTTAATTATTTGTTGGTAATGTTGTCTTATTAAAAAGAAAGATATAGTATTACATTGTGTTTGAGAATAAAGCTTCTTTTTTATTTTTTGCACAGAGTTGTAAGGTTGATGACTAATTACTAGAAAAAAGCACATTTTCTGATTTTCTTGAAAGCCTTGCAGCTGCTTATTAATTAAGCAGTTTTAGTAAAAGTATATAAAAAAACTTGGAAAATAAAAAGTTCGTTTTTCCTGTAATTGTTTAAAAGTGTACATCTTACCTCATAGCAAAACATTTCTTATTTAACTTCACAAAAAGTTCGTTTTTTCCTGTAATTGTTTAAAAGTGTACATCCTACCTCACAGCAAAACATTTCTCATTTAACTTCACAAAAAGTTCGTTTTTTTCTGTAATTGTTTAAAAGTGTACATCCTACCTCACAGTAAAACATTTCTTATTTAACTTCACAATTTTTGTATTTGATCATGCTTCATAAAGCAATGATGAGGGGAAAAGTTTTAATTTGCATGTGTAACAAACATGTCAATGTTTGCTTTTGGAAAAAAACTTGAGTTTTATTAGTAATTTTGGCATCCAAGTACATACGATTGTTATGTGGTGTTAAAAATATAAGCCTAACATAATGTCTTATGACAAATATAATTAATCCAAGTAGACAGTATTTGTGCAGTAAAAATATAGCTAATAAAAATCTATAATAATGAACATTATAAAGACAATCTGCAGAATGAAGTCTGAGGTCTCAATTTTTTCAGTTTATAAAATGCATTTACTTCCTTCATCACATTTTGGAACACGTAATAGATGTATTTGTTTTTAATTGGAGATTTTGGAAAGTCGTGATTCTTCACCCAGTACCCAGAGCCTTATCTTCTGTCATAAATAGCATCATTGAAAAGAGTGGTTCTTTTAATCTAGTAATTCCACCATATTTTCTGGAGCACTTTGTTCTTAAGTAAAGCACATCATTGAAAAGAGTGGTTATTTTCATCTAGTAATTACAACGTATCTTCTGAATCACCTTGATCTTAAATAAAAGCATACCACCAAAAAAAAAGAGAGTAATTTTTATTCATCTAGTAATTATACAGTATCCAGGGGCATAACTAGGTGTAAGTTTGAGTTATGCATGGAGAGGCGTTTCCTCCAGGAAAATTAAACCAGAAATGGCAAAGTCCGGTGACTTTCTTTGCATATTTTTTGAAAACAAAAATGTTTTCCTTCAAGTATCACAATTTCTACTTCAATCGGCTGGGCTAGGGCTAGGTGCTTCTGCTGCTGAAGCAACTGGAAATTTTTGAGAGAAATTTCATCAAATGCTTCAATAATTAGAAATAATTAAAAGTATGTTGGTTATACCTAAAGTAAAAGTTTTAAGAGTTTCAAAGCAAGTAAACGAGTTAGGAAGGATATAAAAAAGAAAAGGGAACAAGGAGATGCCTGTGTTGTGAAATAAGCCTTGAGAAATTTATAAACAAGAACGAGGTTAGACCTTCAGCAGGAAATAGCACAGCACGTGCACAATCTGCAGAGGCGAGCCTGGGAGATTAGTGACCAGGGTCAATAGCAGAGTTAGTTAACAACCTAGTCATTGCTATTGCATCATGTCCGGGAAATGAACGCCAATGTATGTGACCATAAAAGGGAATGTTGATCT